CAGGCCCAAATTCCCCTCCTAGAATGCTTTCAGGACTTGGCTAGAAAGACATCACTAGATCTACAGTTAGCATCTTCCTACTATGAGTGAGAGCAGGACTACATGACCTCCAGAAGTACCTTCCAACTAACATCTCCACAATTAGGTTATTTTTAAGCACAGAAGCTGCAGTAGCACTGGAAGTCTCTGCACAGTACCCTTCTAACTAAGACACAACAAGAAACAGGAGTAATACCGAACATTATAACAGCATATCCTAATACAGTGGCCTGAAATTAAATTTACCTAAAATAAGCAAAATCTGTTCTATCACCTGCAAAATTAGTAAGGAAATTATTCCTGATGACAAAGCAATTCATTAAACACAGATGCTTAATTTGTCAAAGGCTTCAAACTAGAAAACCAAGCTCACAGGGCTCAGAGCTAGCAAGATTTGTAGAGTAGAAGACTCTCACATCCCTCGTTAGACATGCAAAGCTTGAACTATTAAGCGACTGACTGCAGATTGTTGAAATGGTTTGGTTACCACACAAACAGCCACAGGGTTTTCAGTTCTTTCAAAACCTCTAAGGCCTATCAGTCTGTATAAATGTATCAATTTAAGAGGACACTGAATAGCATTTGACTACACTGTGTGTCCTTAAGACTCTACTAAAGGCACGAGATCCTAATTAAAAGGTGTCTTTCCGATGAGATGTGACAGATGATCTGGGAAAACACTTTCTTAAATATTACACATGTGCTGTGATTGTATCCTATTAAGCACAGTTTACTAAGATCTACATTACCTAGCAGAGGTGGACAAGGTAAATACAGAGAAGCTTTCGCTAATGGAATTCTACTACACAAAAACCCAAAGCCAAAGTAATATACAAAACACCACACATAGAAATGACAGCTTGGTTTACCAGAAGCTCACCAAAACAAACTGTAGCCCCTTTTCATCAGCTATTTCAAGTACTGCTCCTTTATTAAGGAGCAGAAGTTGATTGTATTGTTGGCTTAATACATTTAATATGGGGGGGAGAGGGGAATACCAAATTTATTCAACCAAATGAAGGGATTCAGCAATAAAAGAACTTAAGTAAATCACAAACAATCAGCAGGTACATTACATGCCAATAAAACCTACAGTCTATTTCAGGAAAAAATTTCATAAAATCATAAAATCCTTAGAGTTAGCTGGGACCTCTGAAAGTCATGTAGTCCAACTCCCCTGCTATGCACAGATACAACACAGCTAGATCAAGTTGCCCAGAGCCTGATCCATCCTGGCCTTGAAAGTCTCCATGGATGGGGCATCCACCACATTCCTAGGCAACCTGTTCCAGTGCCTCACTACCCCCCCACTCTAAAATTTCTTTTTCCTTATACCTAACCTAAATCCACCCACTTTGAGCTTGAAACTATTTCCCCTTATTCTATCACCACAGACCCTTCTCTAGAGTCCATCCCCTTCTTTCACATAGCTCCCCTACCAGCTTCTTTCACATTTAGGGGGCAAATTTTCACAGTAGTCTCCTAGATTTAAAAATCAAAATCTCTTCACTATGAGTGATTGATAGACTAGTACATCTGCCAACAAGCTGCTGCGTTCTTCAATTAACTTCGTTCTCTCATCTCCAAGGTGAAAGCAACTACCATGAGTTATATCACAAGAGCGTTTCAGCATTTTGTGAATCTTGTGATCTGTAGTCCTTATTACAAAGGGAAAAAAAACAGCACAGCATTGTTAATCCAGTTCCTTCTGCAATTTATTCATGTTAGGATTAACTAGAAACACATGGATGCCTGAAATCTTCTTTTCTGTTATTACTGTGTAATATGCGGCGTGAAAACTTTTAGAGACGTAAGACTAAAGGGCTTACTACTTTTGACTTAATTGACCTGTGCTACAACACTGCATGACCTGACAGTAAAAATCAAGAAATAATAATTACAGATTGTTATTGCAGAATTGACACATTTTTAATACTGTCAGAAATTTAACAATTGAAGGATGGTTAATATTAGGGCACAAAATTAAATGTCTCTAGATAAGATTTAACATAGCAATAGGTATTAACTGGATTAAAGGAACATTCATTTTTGGTCATATTAATGTGCCAATATATAGGAAAAATCTAAATAAAAATCAATGCAGAGTGGCACAGGAGGCCATTTTCTGACAACAGATCCTTCTCACATCACTCAGCCTCTCCTGTACAACAGAACTGCTGCTAATCACCAAAAAAGGTAAAAGAATATAACGAAGACATAATTTGTAAGCAATATCTAAGGCATGTTTCCCTTCTTTTAAACACCAACTAGGATCTTAGTTTATCCAAACCCCAAATTTACCAGCCTCATGCCAGATCCCATTTTAGCTCCTCACAACCACAAGAAATATTGTCAAGTTATCTTTTTACTGAGGTTATTGTTTTGTGGATTAAAACAACCTTTCAGGGCTGAAGAAAGAATAACGATACGGTGATGTTCGGGCTTTTTGTTTCTTTTTGTCCCAGTGTTGCACATTCATGATGCAAGGTATCACCAGGGCTTTGTATGAAATAAATCACTACTTCTCTGTCTCTCTCATTAAGATTTACACCATCTATTCCATCTTAAAATATCTGCCTTCCTTAAGGTTCACTGTATATGTCTTCATACAGTTGACTAGTATCACCAAGACCACCTCAATTTTTTCTTTACATTATTTTTACACTAATTCTAGTTCAGAAATTCTTATTAGACCTCGTATTCCAAGTAAACGACCTACAAGGTAACTTTGCTCAGCTTCAGATCATGAGAGGCATGTTATGTTGCACTTTCAAGACACATTCTGCAACATGAAGCTTGACACAAAAAAGATGCCTTTGAGCCATTTTGTCTTTCCCTTGTCACAAACTGTCCCCAGAGTGTAAAAGGTCATGGCTACAGACACCCATCATAAAATGGCATAAGTAGTCCCCAGCGTAACTCAAGTAGCTCTGAAACACAGCCTCTGTCACATGGGAAGTGATGCACTGTTGTTTAATTAAAGTTTCAGATGCTTCAGTACTTAGTTTTCCCTCAGTTTTTACAGCCAGAGATGCTGGTCACCTTGTGTCTGTAGCTCTCTTCTCAGAGATGATATGGTCAGACAGGGGTAATAATCGCATCCAGCAATCCATCACGCAAGATGAGAACACTGCCACTATACTACAAAACGAACCACAGAGCATAGCAATAACAAATAGAAGATTAGATCATTTGAATGAGGCAGGCTGCTTCTGCTCTGGCCTAGGAGCATCCAGCAGACATGCACAAAACCACACTTTCCTTTTAACAATGACTTGTCATTCTCACAGCTCACCCTCAAACGCAGAACTAATATAACACGATGGCCAGTGAGACTGAGAAGGTGACAAAAGATACATAGAAATAATTAGAAGCTGAGTGCACTACTGACAGAAATCAAGGATTATGAGAACCTCAATGTTCCCAACACTATGAGCAACTTACACTACACTGTTCATTGCATTAGTTTTCCATGGGAGAATTTGAAATCTGTAACAAAGCAACCTGTAACAAAGCAACTTAGGGAAATATTTCATTGTCAAGGTGGTTCACATCTGTAATTCTTATTCCATGGGGGGAGGAAAGGGGGAATGGAGAAAATTAGAACTTCTAAAATAGACTGCAAGAAAAAAAAGATACTGGTGAGAAAGACCAATCAGATGAGGGGGAAACAGTGTTTCAACCTTAAATTAAACATTTGATCATTGTATTTTCCTTTGATAATAATTTGGGTTCAATTTACGGCATTACATAATCTAATAAAGGTTCGAACATACAGAATACAACTGTATCCTGCATCATTGTAAGGAAAAAAAATCAGCTATTTTAATTGTAAAAAGGAACAGTGACTGGTGTTTCAAGTATTCTTCCCATTGCAAATTCAACAACACACAGCTGGGAATAACTACAGTACTGCTGGGTGGGAGGGGGCAAACATCCACTCTCCCATCACATCACACAGTAGATATCAGCTGTGCTATAAGAAGAGGTTACAGTTCCTTCCCTTCTTCTAGCTATAAAAGCTACCCCAGTGTACTTTTACAAAAATGTACATACAAAAATGTAACAAGAAAAATAATTACAACAAAATAAAATGAAAACGTTAGGTCACGTCTGAAGGCTGGGCACCAGAGGTGTCCTATGGAAAGGTACTTCATGCAGGAGCACAGGAACCACTGCTAGTTAGTCTGCTTCATCACTCTACTTCATTAAAATCCCATTATCCATCACAGGATATGAAGGACATCTTAATCCTTAGCTGAGAAAACTGATGAACACGTTTGGAAATAAGGCAAAAGGAAAACGGACATCTGTTTTCTTTTTTCAAATGAGAGGAAAATAAAAGTTTCTGAGAGTATTCAGAAGAATTAAGGGAAATTGTGGCCTTGCAAATCAATAGAAATTGTCAGACTTCCAAAGCTAAAAGGAAGTTTGGATAAAAATAAAATATTTGTGTGTTCGTTTCAACATTTTGTTTGTTTTGTTTGTTTTTCCCAATTTTGAACCCTTAGAAATGATCAGAGTTAACAAAATAAAGCATAGCTATCCTTGACCGAACTAACAACTAGTCTCCCTGCTACAAAAGCTAATGCTTCAAAGAATACAGAAGCAAAATTTATGATTGCTTCTTGTCATAAACAATAAACAAGTGTTTCGAACTTCAAGGACATGCAATTACAGTATAGGGAACCCTGACCATTCCTTGAAAAATCTTGTCCATAAGGAAAACCTGATAATTACCCTTAACACAAAGTTATGTAGTTTTTTTTGTTTGGTTTTTTTTTTTTTTTTTTAATTTTTTTTTTTTTTTTTTTTTTTTACTCTTACCAAAACAGTGACGTAGAAGAAAGCCTTTCTTATTATTTTGGCTAATTTCCTAATTCATCCCCCAAAAGCAAAAAACAACACTAAAGAAAAGAAGTAAAAGAAGCGAAGAATAAACACAGGAATATGGTTCTTACCCTGAAGAGCGGCAGTCTGGTTTGTTTCTTTCAGAGCGATCTATGAGAAAGGAGGCATAGTATCAGCACAAAACTTGGATGTTCTTATGCAATACAAGCACCTAAGTCTTACAAGAACTGTCACATCATACGAGTAGCAAAAAACAAAAGCTGGTTCTGTCATAAAACTTTTTCTATGCTGGACCATTCAACTGGAAACAAAGTAAAATCACTGCAAATTTAATGTTTGTTACAATTCCTCTATCCAAAACAGAGCGTACTTAATGTTTTACATTAGTGCTTTAGATGCCTTCCCTCCCTTTAGCTAAAATGAATAGGATTTTAGTTTATGGTAAAAATAAGGGAGAGGGAAAAGGAAAAAGAAAAACCACAGATTACTCAGCGCAAAAAAATCATTCCATGAATCACAGCTGGCAGAATTCCCTAACAGGATGGGAGAAAAATCAGCAGCTGGTTGCAGCAACATCTGCAAATACACTGAATGCAGTGCAGCTCGTCATTAACCCTTAAACATCTCGAAGTTCTACCTACTGAATCTTTCTGTGCTTTCAGAAAGCAAGTTGTTTATTCAGTAAGTACGTTGAGTAGCTGATTTGCATTAATGAGATGGACTAGAAATAAAAATATATGCATTACAATCATGCAAACTCGGAAACATCTTCTGCCAAAGAATTAATCAGTCCTGGATACATTTCTTTGATTTGACTGATTTCTGAAAGCTCTAATACACGAAGAAAATATGAAACATTCCCAAGGATAAAGACAACAAGCACTACAAATACTTAGCATTCAAGCAGATACATGCTTACAAAGTCCAAAACACCTCTTAGCACAAGATTTTGGCCTACCCGAAAGAGAAAATGAGATTCGTGTCCTGCTAAAACACATATACTCTCAAATTAGAGAGATGTTTGCTTTGCAAAAAAAGATATCTACTGTGCAGTTGGAAGGATATTCTTACACCTACATGTATTTACTCTGACCACGGTGACTTAGATTCTGACTCTGCACAGCTACTCAAAAGCACGCTACTCTCCTCCTGTTAGTAGTTTATTGAAATGCTTTTTTATACGTAACAGTCTTCCTGTAAAAGAAAAAAAGAATAACATACAGACTACATTTTGATCATAAAGCTCTGCATTAAACTACTTTTTTCTTTTATTAGCATGTTTATTTGTATAGGTCTATGTCACATACAGAAAGAATATTTTTTTCTCTCCCAAGTCTTATATGCCCACGTGATTGAATTTTGATTAATAAGGAGAAAAAAACCCACGTCAGTAGTGCTCTAAGAAACACCTAATGCTTTTTCCACCCACAAGTGCTCCTATTGAGCTGTCATAGCCATACAGTACATAATTTATTGTGTTTCTGACTCACAGCGCTCTCCATTTCATCACACCACATGCTACTCTCTTAGCTAGAAACAGCATGCAATAGCTCAAACCAGAATTACAGCAGCAGTTCAAAGACGCACAGAAAAGCTCCTTCCATCTTTGTCATTTGTTCATGTAACTTCCTTATCAGTGAGTATGCAAAAAAAGAAAAACCAACAAGCAGTCAGCACTTCCCACTGAAATCTGCTAGCCATCTGGTGTTCGTTAGGAATGTTCCCTGCTATTTACACAGCCACAATGCAAAAGAACTCAAGGAAAACCTTCCTACTTCCAATGAGATAGGGTAGGTATACCAGTGAGAAGGAAACAGGGGAGCCACGGGAGACATTAACACAGTGTCTGCAGGCTCTCCCCCTCAGCCCACATCCCAGCAGCAGATCCACCACAGCCCAGCACACTTCTGAAGCCTGCTAGCTCAGGAAATCGCTGCAGTTCTCTCTCCTTCCTTTCCACATTGAAACACGAAGCATTATTGTTGCTTTTACACATTTTGTTTATGGCTGAATTTAGAGAAAGAACATCATTCACAAGTACAACTGGCCTAATAAATAACAATAAATAGAAACCAGCTAACAAGCATTTAGTTAATTCTTCAAAGAAGAAAAAAGATCTGTGCATGCTTACAGTTACTTTGAATTTTTTTTATTTTTTTTTTTTTTCTAAATACCAGGTGTAACAGGAGACTCCAAGACTTGACTTTCTATTCAGCACTTAAATTTCACCACTAAGTGCTGTACAGGTATTACGTACAAGCACCAAATCAAATAATGCCACACACCTTTAGGACATGCATACACAGAATGAACATGCAAATCTTCATACATATTACATGTTAGATACACATTCATACACACAGGTAAATATTAAATATAATCACATGCACAGAAACCAAGCTGCATACCCAGTTAGCTCCCTTTTAATTCTGCACGTTACCTCAACAACTAAAATTTCTATAATTTTCTTCAACAGAAATAAGCACTTAGTGACAAAGATCCAAAAATCAAATCTTGCACAGTGGATTTTCCTCTATGTCAAGGAAATAAATTGCTATAAAACATTATAGGATACAATGCCTCTCTAGCATGACAGTGTATGCCCTTCAATCCTAAACACAAAGTCAAAGCAACTCACCAGATCAGAGCAAACACTGAACGCGCACTGGGCTAGCATGCAGTTAGTAGGGTAGTCCACACCAAGATATGGGGAATTTACTTGCAAAAAAACCCACTTCCAGTGACTGACACCTCCTTTCAAAAACAAGCTTCCGCAGAGGAGAAGCTTGTATAATTTTCTACTACCTTTACACTGTTTAAATGATATAATTCTTTACTGTGTGTGGGGTTACATTCAAATGTGCCAGGAAATTCCTAAACCTTTGCTGCCCTTAAACAAATACAGTCTGCATGGAAGGAGTGCATTATCCTTCCTCAGCAGTAGGATGCAGCGCAAAAAGTCAAGGAGCTGGCGGGTGGAGCAGATGAGGCATAAAGAAGTCAGAGATTCCTGGCAGAGCTTGGGAAGACCACTGCCAAATTTTAAACAGAGAAGGATCAAGGAAAACACTGGGATGTGAAGATGCGCTCTTTGTACCACAGCTGCTCTGCACAATCCAGTGTTTATAAGGAAAATCATGCTGCATTTATCCCACTGACATGTTATGACTTACCAGTAGTCAAAATTGAGCAGCAGACAAATGTCATAGTCCAGCTGCTTTTAGAAAGGCGCAGGTTTCTTTGACTGGCAGCTTCTTTAGCTTTCAAAAACAGGAAAGTTATCTCCTTGGGCTTTACTCCCGAAGAAAATATAAACATAACAATCAGGATAAAAATATGTGACAGCACTTTATTTCAGTTCTTCTGCAAACCCGGAATAGCTTAAGATATTGCCAAAAAGACCACAAAAATCAGACGAATATGGCTTTTAAGTAACATTCTCTTGCTTTTAGAAAATGGGCAAAGAAAAGAAAAAAGGTAATTCTCAAAGAGAGACACTGTTTTCCTCTGTTTAATTTGCAAGATTCTCCAAACCATCTTGTTGCTAAGAGTGGCTTCAAGGGAGAAGCATGCTGTCATTAGAAAAAAATTTAACTATAAACATGAAATGCTGCCTGTTGAGCAAGAGGGGAACTTCCAATGCAGTTACCTCTTGAGATACAGCTTACTTCTCTTCATCCCCCCCAGCGCAATTTTTTTTTTTTTTTTTTTTTTTTTTTGAACAGACAAAGCTGAATTAACTGAAGGACAAAGACTGGGACAAACTACTTGCGCTCTGAGGAAATAGCATATTCTTTACCCTAATCATGGCTTAAATAGAGCAGCTGCCATAGTGGGTAAGACATGGAAGCCTCTTCCTGGAGATGGCTACCATTACAGCAAGCCCATCTGTGTTGCTCTAGGTTTTGGCCCATGACAGCACTGCGTTTCATAATGAACAGGAGCAAAAGATGCTTCTAACAACACTCCTGTAGCAATGGCTAGCCTCTGTATGAGCTGGGCAACAGGAGCAGCAGGCTCTTAGCACTGTTGCCACTGAAGAATTTGGATAGATACTACCTTTATATTGGCAACATATAATTTTCGTAGTCTTCATTATTATGCAGCTGGTCAAAGAAAAATATTGCAACAGTCCCCCTTAGGCAACCACATTAGAGCAAAAAAGCCCCAAACCCCCATATCTAATCACTCATATACATAGGGCCCTGCCAAACAAAACTAAACATTTTCTGGTTAAAATAAAGTGCATTTGTGCTGGATCTTCAATGCCAGTTTTATTTGCACTGAGATAAGCTTTAGTGACCAGCAGCATTGCCGTGTTTCTGCCTTCCATTTTGTTAAGGCACGATGTGTTTCATGGCAGCTCCTGCTCCTTTTAGCACTTCTTGCAGAGAAGAAGTCGTAACATCGCAAAATAATTCCACTGTATAGAACCATCTATGAATTCCATTCAATTTGATTAGAAGCTGCTATACAATAAAAACTACAAGACCAAGTATTTACCTATTTATTTTAGCATTGTAACAGCAGAGTCCCTTATCAGTTGTTTAAAAGGCAGAAAGCATGAGGTGGAATTAATGAGAAACTTACAAGAAACTTTTCTCATTAAGTTTGATAAATAGCTTTTCCCTTCCCCAGAAGGCCACAAAAGCAGGACACAAAGTTACAGTGGTAAGGGCAGACAATTTTTATACCTGCTTTGAATTCTACAGTACGCTACTAAATTACAGAGCAGTAAACTGGGGAAAAGAATGAATTACATACCCCACTGCTCCCTGCAATGAAATGGCACTGGCACTATAACCAGTGCAATATAACCCAACTGAGCCTTGTAAGCACACAGTTTACTCTTGGAAATAATGCTGGACTGATATATGGCTGAGAGGAAACAAACACACACAGCCATAAGAATACATTGAACTGGGTAAGTCCTGAACTTTGAAACCTACTGACCACAATAAAGCCTCTAATTATATCAAGACCATATTTTTAACCTGCTAAAGAGATTAACAATAAGCTACAGTCACCTTCAAAGCTTTTTGTGCACTCGTGCAATATATAAATGAAAATTTACATATTTGCTAGTGCTGCATTTGCTTCTGATTTGTTATTGGGGGAGGTGATGCCTGCATTGCAACAGCAAAATTGTGTGCGCACTGGTGTAAACACGCACACCAGCCAGAAGAGAGTGGCTGATGGAGTAACAGACCAAGGAAGGAGACATTGCATAAAATCTCAACGCTCCTCAAAGCTGCCAATGAGGTATGAAACTTGACTGCACTCAGCACTGGTTACTTGTTCTGGGGACATGAGCAGTACAACTAAGTGAGCAATGAAGTATATGCAGCAGATGCGTATGTTAAAACACTTGTACCCTCTAAACTTCAAACAGGAAATTTACAATATGTTTATTCACAAAATTCAGACACGATAGTACAGCTGGCCAGCGCAACTAGGATGTACTTGAGGTACACAGCACTAAGGCATACCCACAGCGTCACAATGGAAGCCATGAAGAACCCTCCTACTTCATCTCAATACTTTCATAGAGCAAAGTAGAAATTGATTCACCTTCTTGATTAAGATTCATAACCACATAACACCTTCCTGTCTAACAACTGAAAAATGGTAGGTTTACATTTCTGAAACACATTTTGCTGATGTTGCTACCGTTAGCAATAAAAGGAAGTTAACATTCAAGAAGATGGTACTACCATTTTCTTCCCAGAGATGTATGATGCCTGCATAGGTTCTGTTTAGTCCTCAAGAAGAGGACAGAGCACCGTCTTACACTAGGTCTGCCTGTCAGAAGGTGTTGATACACAACATGCAGTCAATTCAACACAAACAGACGTGTGAATAAATTTCTGGTTCCTACACCTTACAAACAGAGCATTTTATAAGCAACCATGTATTGCATTCATGATCTAAAGGTACCGAATGGGAGCCACAAGCTTTGAACATGTGTGCACAGACACACTCACCTGTCAAAACATAGCCCACGGTGTTGTAGTAGCAGTTTTTGTATGTATTTCAGCTAACTGCTCATAACTATTGTGAAATCATATCCTATTTTATAACTTGAAATAGACTTAAACTTTATTTGTGAAGGACTGATGCCATGTAGTAAGATTAACTATTTTAGGATGCTAAACACTTAGCAAATTTCCCTTTCCTCCAATACCCAACAAACCTCCCATAATCCCACCCACATTTAAGGGTAATTAAAAGTTTCCTGAATTTGCTTACTCAAAACATGTTCCTATTTTTGAGGTAAACCTCAACAACCCATTTCTCCAGGGTAATCTTATGCAATACGCACTTGTAAGTTAAGACTCATTTAACATCAGACATGAATTCACAATAAGGTGCTGTTGAGCATTCCCACCTCTGTAGTAGCAGCAACTAATTCGGCTCTAAAATAAACTATGAAGAGTAAAAAAATGTTACTTGATTACAGGGACACACTGACAGCAATGCTGACAGCACAGCTTCCAAAACCTTGATTTATTAATCTGGAATTTAGGCACTATTGTTAGTGGAAGGAAACAGACCTATATTTGAAGAGAATTTAGAAAACAGGGGGGGTGGTGGTGGTGAGAAGACATAGAAAGATAGACACTAAAATGAAATACTGTAAAGCACTAAATCATCAAAGAACAAATCTGTAGAAAGACAGCTATACAAGGCAAGTAACACCACTCATTTGTCGTAAGATACTATTGGAACACTCAGATGCTCAAATACCTTTTAGCCCCTTGTTGAAATTGTTCACCCAGTCCACATCAGGATACCTAACAAGGGAAAAAAAAACTTCAACCCAGTATTTTGTGGCAAGCATTTTCTACAAAAGTACACTTGAAATTAGTTCAGAAATTCTACTAGATAACAGGAAGAAATTCTATGCTGAGTGTGGTGAGACTCATTGCCCAGTGAGGTTGTGGATGCCCCCTGCCAGGAAGCATTCAAGGCCAGGCTGGATGGGGCTGTGAGCAACCTGGTTTGAGGGAGGTGTCCCTGCCTATAGCAAGAGGTTGGAACTAGATCGTTTTAGGTCCCTTCCAACCCAAACCATTCTATGATTTTTCAGGTATTCCTGTTCTTGTCATAGTCACTGAGGACCTTGGGACCTTCTAACTGACCAACCCTGTTCTCCAGGGACAAGATTTCTGATGCACTGTTTGAAGTGGGCTTCCATTTCAGCTTCCTATCTCAAATTGTTATCAGACTCTAACTTGCAGCTGATCAGATTGGTCTGCACGTCCTCATTTTCCTATGCCTGATACTGAAGTCTTGGTCACTGAACTCTCTCATTTCTTGCACAGATGCACCTTCTGCAGGTTGTGAAATCACAGTATGTGGAATCCAGCTGCACGCTATCTGAGAGCACAGTGACTCCTTGGCAAGATGGTCCTTGAGGACCAAATGATATTTAAGGATCTTTTTAACTTTATGGTGAAGTGCAAGAGGCCTTTTTGTAAGTAATCTGTTTTGTGGGAATTTCAAAAAAAACAAAAAACAAAAAAACAAAAAAACATCTATATGAGAAGCAATTGTCATACTTACTTTCAGATAATCTTTAATTTCCATTTCACTGTTTGGACAGAAGCACCAATGACATTTAAGGATAATATTTGATTAACAGAACCATAGAATAGTTAGGGTCTGAAGGGACCTAAAACCATCTAGTCCCAACTAGTTTAAGATCATGTAGTTCCAACCCGCCTGCTGCAGGCAGGGACAGCGCCCATAAACCAGGTTGCTCACAGCCCCATCCAGCTTGGCTTGAAATTTTTCCACAGCGGAGGCATCCACAACCTCACTGGTCAATCTCTTCTATTATCTCAGCACCCTCACAGTAAAGAATTTCTTCCTGATACCTAGTCTTAATCTACCCTCTTCCAGTTTAATATCATTTCACCTTGTCCTATCAGTATATGCCCTTGAAAAACATCCCTCCACAGCTTTCCTGTAGGCCCCCACCAGGTACTGGAAGGCCACTAAAAAACCTCCCTGGGGTTTTCTGTTCTCCAGACTGAAGCCCTCCAACTATGACCTTCTTATCATGGGCCCACTTACCTAACCAGTGAGGAACATTTAGATATATTTCCAGGCCCCAAAACAGAAAAAAGCAATTTGTGAAGAAGGAACATAGAAAATGAATGAGAGAGATAAGGAGGAAATAGCATGTCAGAAAAAAAAGAATGAACATCATCCACTGAGATAGGAGAGGCAAGCAACCCTCTTGGAACACAGGGCTTTTACACCCCTTGTTAAGAAACACATGCATGCTCAGAAAACGTTACCATGGTTCACAACCCAGATCGCTGTGTTGCTTACTTAAAAATTGAAAAACATGGATGAGGAGGACACAGTCTGCAAGGTGTAAAAATACCCAAATCATAACAAAAGCACTGTCTCTTTGTGAACAAAATGAAAGCTCTAAGTCACAATTTAAGCAGTATCTTAAAAACAACCGTTCATATTACAGGCATACACCTTTTATTCTTCACTAGCAGGCCTTGTAGTTCAGGTAAGAGCTGACTGCACCTGTCTCCCGATTTCTGAGCAATTACAGTACTTCATAAACCTCTCTCATCTGTTTTTCAGAATGTTTAGCAATTGTACTTCCTCCTCCTTCAGGCTTTCAGAAAACACACAATAGGAAAAAAGCTATTATAATAAGTCCTTCTTAGTAGCTTCTAGCCTTGACATCAGGTTAGCGCATCTAGTCTTCAGTCTTCTAAATAATTCCACTCTCATCCTATTGCTGTTCAAGGTAACATGCAGCAGTTCCTCTCTACTATCCAATGAAAGGCTTCAAAAGCCATAAAGCATCTTTAAACAACTGATGACAAGATGGCAAAGCCACCAGCAACCTGAAAAGGCAAAAACAAGGCTCCTGTGTTTACCACAGAGGAGAAAAAACAGGGAATTTCACCCAGGAATCCAAAGCTGCCAGTGACCATTGCAGTCAGCACTACCTTAGAGCAACAGATCCATTCCCAAGCATGCCTAGACCTGACCTTTTCCCTATCCTGCTCCTGTGCATACATCAGAGGATTCAGCAGAGCCACCCAACCCACACTACAGAGCATCTTAACTTCACTCTGTCGCCAAGAGCGTAACAACGTTCCTCAACTACGTGTTCTTAATGATGGATCCACCAATGCCAACTAAGCAGCAAATGGAGAAATAAAGTGTGCTTAGAGTCACAGTAGCAGCTACTATGCCATTTCTAGAGTGGACGCTGGTGATCTACAGAGTATTGCATATGGAATAAGCATGGGAAAAGATACTTGGCCCTCTTGATACTGTGCCTACTACTGCTGGAAACATGAGGTCTGCTTCTCTTCTCTCAGCAATACCGCTTCTCCAAGCACTGTCTTGACCTGCTTAAACAAAGAGGTGGTGGACTACAGCACGCACCTTCCGCTCCAGTACTCTCTCTCTGGTGAGTTTCATCCTTCCAGTTTGGAGATCACTGACTATTTTTCAAGACATACTTAGAATCATATAGAGCTTTAAGAAAATTCTATAAAAGGTCTTGGAAGAGACCATCAAGATCACCAAGTTCAACCATCAACCCAAAATTTTGACAAGCTTTTGACAAATCACAAGCTTGCGGTACCTGTCATGAGATAATAGTGGCACCTGATAATGCCATTTTCCGAGTACCAAGTAACAAAACATTTTTCCAGAACTTCTAATTTGATCCCAAATCCCATCATTTCTACTAGTTTCTATACTGCAGATTTACAGTACAACCATAAAATGATTACAACACACCAAGGGAACAATTTATTACATGAAAGTTATCAAAATGCTGAGCTTGTTCCCAGGCTTTTATGTCCCATCACTCACACAGGATGAGTAAACAATATTTTAATAATAAATAACACCACAGCACTCTGTTCACTCAAAAATTCTTGTAAATGATTTAACACAGATGTGCACAACCCAAATCAATTTTCATGTGTTGATCTGTGATACTGACTGCTTGGGTTTTAATGCAAGACAGAGCGCATGATGAATATAAATCTATCACCTCAAGAAAACTATTTACATTTAATTTTAGCTTGTCTCCTGCATACAGAAATAAAATGCTATAGCTGAAGAAACGAACTACCACTAATAGCTTATTTCATGCATACAGTATCCTGTCTAGAAGGAGAATGCATCAGAAATACCTTCACAAGAAACAAAGTGCCTGAAATGTACTTACAGTTTCTGGAATATAAATCACCGTGTTCTAAGTCACATTAAAAAAGCAAAATATTTATGGAACATTCATCATCACAATCCAAAAACTAATGAATAGCATATAAAATATCAGCCAGCATGTAACAGAGAAATTTTAAATAATGCATAATTAAGTTGTGTTCTTACTACATGGTAACATTTGAAGGTCAAAAGTTTAAGTGGCTTTAAAAAGGAATTAATTTAACACAGATTTTCATATGAGCTTCCAATAAGTCTCTAAAATACTGGCTGCAAAGGAGAAGGAAACCTTCTTGTTAATAAAAATTAAATTCCAGTAGAGGTTTCTTGCATACTTTCTTGAAGACACTTAGATGCACTTGTAAGAAATAGATTTTAATCAAAATTAATCTCTTATCTGATAACATCATAACTTTTCTATGGACATCAAAATTGTCAAAGTATTACTTTGAGGTTTTTCCCAGTTTGGACCATGAGGCAAAATAATTTCAAGCTTCACTGTGAACCAGTCTTTCAGGCTGGTCCCAAACACAGCTACATACAGCCACAAGAAGCCAAAAGATTTTTTTTTCTTGTTGTTCTGTGTGCAAAAGGAATCACAGACAAATGAAGTTCATCTTTGAAGCATCTTATTTAGAACTCTATTAAATGTTGTTCAAGTGTCCTGAGATCAAGACAAAATGTCAAATTGATGTTTTTAGAACACATCCAAACCATAGAAAACTGCCGATTTACAACTCCACCTGAATCAGTTAGTATAACACAGCACTACATCACATAATCAACTTAAAGATAGTCATATCCATAAAATGCTGTCTTTTAAAATTCATAAAGCATCGGGAAAACAAATGAAGATGTCCTGCTACATGCCATCATCCACTAAATACATGCTTGCCCTAAAAACTTATTTTCATTCTTCACTAAGGAGAAGGATGATTGCCAAGCATAAACCACAGACAAACACATAATATGTTGTCTTCTCAAATCCATAGTTGGAATGTTTCAGTAACTTTGGTACATGTTTTTCAAGCAAAGTGCAAAATTTAGCCAATGCTTCATCTCTGGCTTTGTAAAACACTGGATATGCAAAGCACAACTGCCCAGTGAGAGTACTGAAAGGACCAGGTTTTTCCAGCCCAGTATAGAGCAGGCAAACAAGTTAACAGCAGCATACAACTGTTTGAAGGGCAGTAAGAGAGCTCAAAAATCCAAGCTGTTCCTGATATTAGCAGGCAGTGTAACAAGAGGCAATAAAGACAAATGAAGCTTCGGTGGTTCAGGATGAATGTGAGAAACAATTCCTTTGCTAGGAGGTAGTGCAGCACTAGAAGAGGTTGCCAATCCTTTTTTGGGAGATACTGTTCACAACATAGCTAAAGAAAGCCTTGCGGGATGGATTCTGTCTCAGCAAGATTCCTGCACCAATTCAGAGGCTGGATAAGGCCACCCTCAGAGCTCACTTTCACCCAATTCGGTGGCTACTTTAAGTCACAGAAAGTAAAAACACAAAAATAATTAAAAAAAAAAAAAAACAAAAACAAGAAAGCAACTACGCACTATTATATGTAAAGCA